GCTTGGCTGTTTGTCTGAAAGGAAGTTTGACAAGATTTTCCATCAGGACATTGAACAGCATTGGACTGTGGGGTTCCGTTTTCATGGACCCTGTAGCTTGAGGTTGCTCCCTGAAAGCGTACTCTTGCTTCTCTCTGTGTGAGGTAGTTCTGGATCCACCCCAGCAACCTTCCTTTGACGCCTTTTTCAGCGAGCGTCGTTGTGATGGCCAGTGGATTTGCTAGTTCGAAGGCCTTCTCCAGGTCGAGGAAGACCACCAGAGCTGGTTTGTAGTCCACTGTGCTGAGTATCTCGGCGATGTTGTTGCCTGTGCCGGTGTTCTCGGTGTAAGCAAAAATGTGAGGGTGTGGGCTGCCTACTTTCCACTTGAGTCGATTGAGAGCCATTCTTTCTCCCGTCTTCGCTATGCAGCTGAGAAGGGAGATGGGTCTCGGTTTGTCTGGTTCTCTGGGCTTCGGAATGGGCTGTATATCTGCCTTCTTCCATTCCGGTGGAAGTGTTTGTGCTGTCCACGAAGCGTTGATGACTTGTAGCAAAGCCTCGTGTCCGGCTTTACCGGCATGGGAAAGCATGGAGTAGGTTATCCTGTCGGCCCCTGGTGCTGTGTCCTTGCTTCGTTTTAGCGACTTCTGGAGTTCTTGCTGGTTGAAAGGTCTGTCGGTGTCATTTTCACTGTTGCAGGCCTCTTCGAGCATCTGGAGTCTGACCTGTCGCAGACGCCGTTGTGTCTCCTCCGCCTGTCTCGGGAGGTTTTTCGTTGCTGCCCGGTCAGAGAACACTTTTGCAAGTCTCTCGGCTTCCTCTTCTGGGTTGGGATGGGTTGGTGGTGGTGGTGTTGCCTTCCCAGATGCCCTTCGGATCTGGGCCCACATCTTGCCAAGGGAGGTGTGCTCGTTCAGTTCGGAGCACCACTTGAGCCAGCTTACGTTTTTTATTTCTTCCTTCTCTTCCCTGGTATCCTTAACTATGACTTGCAGGAGATGTCTGTTTGTTTCCGTGGGATGTCTCCTGTAGTTCTTCGGGCCATGTTCACTCTGTGGTTGAGTTCTTTCACCCTGGGACAGTAGTTCCAGTAATCATTGTACTGTCGTGATGTGGGTTTTGTTTTTGGGATAGCCTCATCTGCCGCTTGGTGAAACACCTCGACCAATTGTTGGTGGAGGGCTGTCTCGTCCACGGGTGCTGCGCCGGCCGGCTGTGATTTTTCGCGCCACTTAGCCAGGTGTGTCTTAAAGAGTCCCCAGTCTGCCTTTTGGGTATTGTATCTCCATCTCGGCGGGGGTGGAGTGGGGAGTTTATTCACCTTCAGCGTTGTTAGGGTGGCGAAGTGGTTGCTGGTCAGCGTGGGGTGTAGCTGCCAGGAGGCCGAAGGCTGTAGTGCACTGGAGACGAAGGTTAGATCTAGCCTTCCTCCCTAGTGTGGGTGGGCTCTCCGGTGTTCAGGAGGCAGATCTCGGGTGTGTCTTGAAAGGTGGTATATAGGTGTAGGCCATCTTCATTTGTGGGGCTTACCGAGCTTAGGAAGGGATGATGTGCGTTGAAATCCCCTCCTATGAGTGTGGCGTGGTCAGCGGCCGAAGCGAATAATTGAGTCACCTCCAGTGAGCCCCTTGGGTTCTTGTAGATGTTGTAAACAGTTAATTCCCGCTCTTGGAGGGTTACTTTGACGGCCTGTGTCTCGATGTTTTCCCCACATAGAAATTGCTGCGTGACCTCGGAGGAGGGTATGCTTGACTTGACCAAGATCATACATCCTCTTGTTGACGCCTGCGTGAAATGCCTCCTGTATGTCTTGTAACCACTGAATTTGAAACAGTGGTGTTCTTGTAGAAGTGTTTCTTGTAGCAATATGATGTCAAGCTTGTCCTTGACTGCTGCTTCTTGCAGGAGGTGTTTCTTGTTTTTGATGCCCTGAGCGCTCCATGTAAGGATGTTCAGGGTGCTGATGTTTTCCACCACTGTTTCATCGGGGACTTCTGGTGGTCCTCGATGGAAATGTTCAAGTCCGATTCCGACTGGATCAGGTTCATATCTTCTTGTTCTGTGGTTTTTGCCTTCTGGGCCGTGGTTCGGTTCAGGGGAATTGAAACGTCCAATTTCTTTCTGGGAGCTGTCGGTATCTTGGGTTCTCTGGTGGCCTTTTTCGGTGTAGAGTGTACCTCGGCTGTCACTCGTGTGAGGACCGGCGTGGCTTCCTCCACTGAGGTGGCTGGAGCTGTGGCAACTTGCCCGAGGACGCTCCCCATGAGTATTTGGAGCTGTGTGGGTTGGATCTTGTGGCCCAGTAGTCCGGCTAGGCCCTCCGCGAAGGTTGTCAGTACCTTGGCTAGGTCTGATACGTGTATCATTCCTTCTGGTGCCTTGGTGTGTGCTTCTTTTGTCTTTTTTGTGGTTGTCGTTGTCCGCTGCTTGGGTGGCTGAGGTGTGGCCGTAGTGAGGCCAGGAAACTGGGCTGCACTTTGGGTGTTGACCGGCTGAGGAGGTTGGCTTTGTTGTTTTGGCCTTTGGGTTCCCGACACGAAGGTACTTGATGGGGCTAGTGTGCAGGCGGTGGGGGCCGGTCTTGCTGCTGGTCGGTTTGCCTGGACCCTCTTTGTCCTCTCGGAGCATCCAGGGTTCCAGGCGTGGTGTTTGCCCCCGCAGTTGGCACACTTGGGGGCAATTTTTTCTCCATTTTTCAACTTGGTGAGGCAGGAGTGTGTGCCGTCCTTCTGTGCGCAGACTGCGCAGATTTCCTTGTACGTGCACCTTGTCTGATGGTGCCCGTATTTCTGGCATCTGAAGCACCGCAGGGGCTCTGGGACGAAGGGCCTCACTTCGTAGATCCCCCAGGTTTTGAGGTCTATGGTGCTGGGGGGTGAACCGTAGTGCGTTATGAGCACTTGTTTTGTGGTGGCCGTCTTGTCGGACGGGGGAGAGCATCTCTCGGCTTTTAGGATCTTCGGGTGGTTCTCCACGGGTTCGAGGGGTAGTTCCTTTGGGTACCGGAGGACTACCGACTTCATCAGTTTCTGGGCGGGGTCCAGCTTGGTTGATGCAATGGTGGTGGTGTTTTGCAGGTAAGTGTCGAGGGTGGTGGCGGAGTCCTTGTCTTTGGGGTGAATAATCATCTCCCCCTTTAGGTTGGGCCGCACTGAGAACTTGGCCAGTGGATTTAGCTTTTCTATCTCTGTGATGGCGGCATATGTCGTTTTTGTGTCCGTTTTCGTGATCCGGAATTTTGGCAGTGTCGTTGGAGGTGAGCTGGTGGTGGTGATGGGTGCCTTTTGGGCTGCTTGACGGCATTCGTTTCCCGAAGAAGCACGTCGGCGTTTTTTGTTTTCTACCTTCGTCCAGTTGTCGTCCTCAGTGGCGGTAGCAGTGGTGGTGGAGTTGTTGGAGGTGGTGGCAGTGTTCCTGCTTTTTAGGGCTTTATTGAAGGTGCGTAACTGGTCCGCTTTCTCTGTGCGGAGCCTGTCGTAGTTCGGGTCGTCAGGTTGGCGGTTCAGGCACGGGTCTCGGTTAGGAGGGCGTACGCGCTCCATAACCGGTGGTTGTTGTTTTTTGTTTTTTTTTATTAAAACCTACCTATTCCGGTTGAGTAAGTAGCAGAGGAATTTCAGCACTCCCCACTGGCTGGTGGTCGTAGAGTGGTTCCTGAGCTTCTCTCCCGGAGCCCCGTTGGGGAAGCCTACTTCCTAGTGTATGTGACTGCTCACTTATAGACGTGAGCTAAGTGTGCCTATTGGGGAAGGATAAGGATTGCTACCCTCTTTCCAGGTGGACCCGCACGATCACGGTTTTCCTGGAAAGACTCGGCTGGGATGGGTTCTTGCTCCAACCCCCTTTCGTGTTCACAATCTCCTGGGAGGAAGGTGAACAGTTACAGGGGGGACCGCAGGACTAATACACTTTTTGAGGGTGCAGGTCCCTAGGCCAGAGCGAAAAAAGGAAAAATAGCAGTAGAAGGAAAAGAGCTCAAACCACGTCGGGAATATCGAGCTATAGCTGCTCTCCAGCTGGAGTGTGGGTCACTCACACCTCCAGTGGGGAGGGCTCGATAAGCCGAAAACGCTCGTGAGTTGTTGTCGACGATGTCAGTGGTGGATGGTCAGGTCCGGGAAGATGGCCAACAATGGCACCAGAGAGAGGGCGGTCTTCACAGTTCCGGGTCCAGCAGGAGATCTTGTTGTTATATGTGAATTGTTCTTTAACAGGTTTTGACCGAATTATATGGTACGCGTCAACGTTGAGGGTTTATTTCTCCGGCAACAAACCAATAACGCTCCTATGAGCGTCAACAGTATGTATATGGGATTGAAGTAATACTACAATATCTACATAATTATGTAAATCATTTACTGAGATCGCATTGCCTGTATTGATTGATTTCCAGCGTGCCATATGGTATAATACATGTTAACTCTCATAGGAGCGTTATTGATTTGTGCTGGATAATAAGACCCACAACGATGACGCGAAGAGTATAATTCTGTCAAAACTTGTTAAAGAACAATTCACATATAACAAATGATGGTATATCAGGACAGTACATAACCTATTAACCTCTTAAATATAACTCACATGTTACAACTGTTGATACATCAGGAGACAATTTGTATAATATAATCAATATACAGTACATAAATATACTTATTAAAGTTATTTAGAGTTTTTAGAGGATTTAATAGTCCACAATCACACTCACGTTTTGGGGTCTAAGGTTTGACCAACGAGAACAAATATAATATCCTCTTGGTATATGTTGGTCGAACGAAAGATGTTGTCTCTACGGTAGGAGGCGATAGACTATCCCTCAGGCAGTCATACAGCTGAGTGGCTGTCGCCTATTTAAATACCTCAGCAAAATTCGTTGTCAACACTATGTCTCTCCTCTCACCCCCTCTCTCTCGTCTAGTTTATCTTACTGTGGCGGTAATAATACATAATGAATTGAAATATTCTAATAACAATAATTAGGTAAGTATTAATAATAAATGAAAAGTCTCATACTGAAGACAGTATAGGGGTATAGGCAAGGAATAGGGTTCCAAGTTTTAAAGCAGTTACTCCTGAGCCGATTTTTTAATTAGTACCTTTCTCATGCACTTGATGATGGAGGGGTTGAACCCCGGGGGTAAAAATGGTATTGATAAAGAGTATTTGGTAACACATCAGAGTACGCACGGGCTACTCTTGAAGAACGCCGCACTTTCCTTTCATTTTTAATCCTCATTGGATAGGACCATTATCATGGAGAGTGATAAAGCCTTCTCATATGAACCATATTATTTCTCACATTCATGATTAGTCTTCTGGCTCCCATTCTGAGGGACAATACAGCTTGGAGGATTCTGATACCGTTGCGTACCCCAGCCACCAAAACACACTCTGCAACACGTCATGATTATCTAATAATGATGTAACTTATTATGTAAAATAATGTAAAACTTGCTTGAGTAAACTAATTCGTCAGTTTGTTAACAAAACCATGGCATCCTTCCCAAGTCCTTATTGACAAATGGAAGTATCAGAGCTCAATTGTTGAACTGCGAGGGTGCTTGTTTGTGTTTGTGTGTAGTGTGTGCAGGGAGGGAGGGAGGTAGGCAATGGCTGGTACAGCGGACCCGTCGTCCAGTAAGGATAGGAGGACCTTGCACCCTCCACCTTGACTGTAGTGAAAATTTCGTCAGGGATTGTACACGAGACTCAGAATCTCCTTCAGCCTGCTCTTGGTTCAACCACACTTCCACCACCCATCCAGGTTAACGGAAATATCCTCTCTAATATTACTCACTTTCAGTATCTCGGCTCCCACCTGTCCATCACCGCAAACATCGATGAAGAGATTCAACATCAGATCAGATGTGCATCTCAAGCCTTGGGCGAACTCCATACCCATGTCTTCAGCTGTAGGGAGCTGAAATTATTTGCAAAACTGCACGTATATCGAGCAGTGGTCCTCCCACCCTGCTATATGGCAGCGAGACTTGGATCACATACAGGAGGCACTTCAAGGCACTTGAAAACTTTCACCAACATAATCTACCTTCCATCTTCCAAGTTCGCTGGGAAGACAAGAGAACTAATGCAAGTATTCTCGTTATATTGGCCAATGGCCCTGTTACCCACATGGACGACAGTAGACTGCCAAAACAGCTTATTTAACAGTCACCTAACGATTGGTAAACATAACACTAACGGGCAACGGAAAAGGTATGAGGGTAATTTCAAGACAAAACTGAAAAGTACCAAATTGACCCCTCACATATGAGACGATCATTCCACGTCGAAAAATTTGGAGGAGCACCACACGAGAAGGTGTCAGTACTTTTGATTTAGCCCTACTGGATATCGAGGCAGACAAGCGCCAACGCTGGAAAGACGCTACCGGCGCCCCTCCCGCACTAGATGAAGCCCTCCACACGTGTACCATCTGTGGACAGCCATACAGGTCCCATATTGACCTCTGGAGTCACCTCAGAGTTCATCGACGAAGGTGACATCCTTAATAACTCATATCATTGTATCCTAGCTGGATGATCGTCATACTCTATCCTGACTGACAGCAAAATAGCATTAGTATTTGTGTATGTGGTGATGATGTCCCAACCTGTGTGTGTGTGTGTGTGTGTGTGGGTGGTTCCATACTGCTTGGTGTGCTACTAGGGCACAGAATGACGTTAATAAAGGATTTATTTATCGGAACTCTATGGTGATGGAGCTCCTGTCTATCTGGTCTACCAGAAGGACACCGAAGGACATTAATAATGGAGTTATTTACCTGAACTCTGTGGTGATGGTGTCCCAGCCTGTCTGGTCCAGCAGCAACAGGTCCAGCTGCTGGTGAGCTTCTTTTATCTGTGTGTTACAGTCTTCACTCACAGTGGCCAGAGAGTCGCGGACCACCTCCAGGTACTCTGCCGTGTGAGGTGAAGCTTATAAGTAAGAGGTTAAGGTGTTTACTGACTTGTTTATACTTTATAATTATATAGTTTTTATTTCATGTCGGAGTAAAATAAAGTTATTTATACAGGATCACCTTGAACCATCACTATATCATTACAGGTCCAGGTGTTTTTTCTCACACACCTCCATCCAAACATCATTCTTACCTGCCTATCCTTTTTCTTTGTCCATCTACCCTAGCATCACACTCACCCACCAACTCCTTTACTTTATCCTTTCCTCTTGTTCTTAGTCTTCTGTTCTCTCTCATGCCTTTTCATCCCACTAACATACTTTTGTTTTTGTTGCCTTATATACACCCATTGTTGCTTCTATGCTTAACATAAAATTGTTATTATCACAGCATTATCTTGACCACTGGAACCATATTTACTCCCATTAATCTTAGAAAAAATACGAGAAGTATTGCTTGAAATATCCTTATTATACAGGTAGTAATGGTCAAAATATCCTTAAAATACAAGAAGTGGTGTTTAGAATCTATATACTGTATATAAAACAAAGAAGTATGTCTGTTTGTGGGTGTGTGTGTTTGTTTGTGTGTCCGCACGAGAATCTCGGAAACTACTTTACCGATCTGTAGTGATGATGGATGGTGTTATATGTAGTGATGATGGATGGTGTTATATGTAGTGATGATGGATGATGTTATATGTAGTTTTTTTTTTTTTTATTAGGCACCCCCGTACATCCTTGTGTAAGGTGAAGCGCAGAAGCGTTTACAGTGCCCAACAGAGAAGCATGCTAAGTTCATGCTTGCCTTTATGTCTCATGAGTTAAGGGCGTAGAAGCCTGAAGAGTCAAGGGTGTAGAAGCCTGAAGAGTCAATGGTTTATGTCATCAAGATATTGGAAGCTCCAACAACTCCCTCAATACGAATTCGCAACTTTCGACTTACAACAGGTACCTACTTTATTGCTAGGTGAACAGGGACTAATGGGGGCTAGGAAGTATGTCCAAACAACTTCCACCGGCCCGGGAATCGAACCCGTGACATCTTGCTTGCGAGGCAAGAGCGGTACCGCTTCTACCACCGGTCCCCCTTGTTGTATGTAGTGGTGATGGAAGGTGTTATTATGTAGTGATGATGGATGGTATTATATGTAGTGATGATGGATGATGTTATATGTAGTTATGATGGGTGGTGTTATATGTAGTTATGATTAGACAATAAAATAACAGTTTCGTGCTAAAAAAATATACTTTGCTGTACCGTTGTAGTGAAAAACATAGTGGTACTTACATACACCGGTAATGAACTATTGATGGAAGAAGAAGTTTTTGGGACTGAACAGTGAGACAATGTATTGATGGTTGAAATATCTTTATAATACAACTAGTGATGGTTGAAATGTCTTTATAATACAAGTAGTGTTGGTTGAAATGTCTTCATAACACTGTACAAGTAGTGATGGTTGAAATGTCTTTATAATACAGTACAAATAGTGATGGTTGAAATGTCTTTATAATACAGTACAACTAGTGATGGTTGAAATGTCTTTACAATACAAGTAGTGATGGTTGAAATGTCTTTATAATACAGTACAACTAGTGATGGTTGAAATGTCTTTTTAATACAGTACAAGTAATGATGGTTGAAATGTCTTTATAATACAAATAGTGATGGTTGAAATGTCTTTATAATACAAGTAGTGATGGTTGAAATGTCTTTATAATACAGTACAACTAGTTATGGTTGAAATGTCTTTATAATACAGTACAACTAGTGATGGTTGAAATGTCTTTACAATAAAAGTAGTGATGGTTGAAATGTCTTTATAATACAGTACAACTAGTGATGGTTGAAATGTCTTTTTAATACAGTACAAGTAAAATGTCTTTACAATAAAGTGTGATGGTTGAAATGTCTTTATAATACAGTACAACTAGTGATGGTTGAAATGTCTTTACAATAAAAGTAGTGATGGTTGAAATGTCTTTATAATACAGTACAACTAGTGATGGTTGAAATGTCTTTATAATACAGTACAACTAGTGATGGTTGAAATGTCTTTATAATACAGTACAACTAGTGATGGTTGAAATGTCTTTATAATACAGTACAACTAGTGATGGTTGAAATGTCTTTATAATACAGTACAACTAGTGATGGTTGAAATGTCTTTACAATAAAAGTAGTGATGGTTGAAATGTCTTTATAATACAGTACAACTAGTTATGGTTGAAATGTCTTTATAATACAGTACAACTAGTGATGGTTGAAATGTCTTTACAATAAAAGTAGTGATGGTTGAAATGTCTTTATAATACAGTACAACTAGTGATGGTTGAAATGTCTTTTTAATACAGTACAAGTAATGATGGTTGAAATGTCTTTATAATACAAATAGTGATGGTTGAAATGTCTTTATAATACAGTACAACTAGTGATGGTTGAAATGGCTTTATAATACAGTACAACTAGTGATGGTTGAAATGTCTTTACAATAAAAGTAGTGATGGTTGAAATGTCTTTATAATACAGTACAACTAGTGATGGTTGAAATGTCTTTATAATACAGTACAACTAGTGATGGTTGAAATGTCTTTTATAATACAGTACAACTAGTGATGGCTGAAATGTCTTTAAATAATAAAAGTAAGTGATGGCTGAAATGTTCATAATACAGCACAACTAGTTTATGGCTGAAATGTTTTATAATACAGTATTAAACTAGTGATGGTTGAAATGTCTTTACAATAAAGTAGTGATGGTTGAAATGTCTTTATAATACAGTACAACTAGTGATGGTTGAAATGTCTTTTTAATACAGTACAAGTAATGATGGTTGAAATGTCTTTATAATACAAATAGTGATGGTTGAAATGCCTTTATAATACAAGAAATGATGGTTGAAATGTCTTTATAATACAGTACAAGTAGTGATGGTTAAAATGTCTTTATAATACAAGTAGTGTTGGTTGAAATGTCTTCATAACACCGTACAAGTAGTGATGGTTAAAATGTCTTTATAATACAAGTAGTGATGGTTGAAATGTCTTTATAATACAGTACAACTAGTGATGGTTGAAATGTCTTTTTAATACAGTACAACTAGTGATGGTTGAAATGTCTTTATAATACAAATAGTGATGGTTGAAATGCCTTTATAATACAAGAAATGATGGTTGAAATGTCTTTATAATACAGTACAAGTAGTGATGGTTAAAATGTCTTTATAATACAAGTAGTGTTGGTTGAAATGTCTTTATAACACCGTACAAGTAGTGATGGTTCAAATGTCTTTATAATACAGTACAAGTAGTGATGGTTAAAATGTCTTTATAATACAAGTAGTGATGGTTGAAATGTCTTCATAACACCGTACAAGTAGTGATGGTTGAAATGTCTTTATAATACAGTACAAGTAGTGATGGTTAAAATGTCTTTATAATACAAGTAGTGATGGTTGAAATGTCTTCATAACACCGTACAAGTAGTGATGGTTGAAATGTCTTTATAATACAGTACAAGTAGTGATGGTTGAAATGTCTTTATAATACAAATAGTGATGGTTGAAATGCCTTTATAATACAAGAAATGATGGTTGAAATGTCTTTATAATACAGTACAAGTAGTGATGGTTAAAATGTCTTTATAATACAAGTAGTGTTGGTTGAAATGTCTTTATAACACCGTACAAGTAGTGATGGTTGAAATGTCTTTATAATACAGTACAAGTAGTGATGGTTAAAATGTCTTTATAATACAAATAGTGATGGTTGAAATGTCTTCATAACACCGTACAAGTAGTGATGGTTGAAATGTCTTTATAATACAGTACAAGTAGTGATGGTTAAAATGTCTTTATAATACAAGTAGTGTTGGTTGAAATGTCTTCATAACACCGTACAAGTAGTGATGGTTGAAATGTCTTTATAATACAGTAGAAGTAGTGATGGTTAAAATGTCTTTATAATACAAGTAGTGTTGGTTGAAATGTCTTCATAAAACCGTACAAGTAGTGATGGTTGAAATGTCTTTATAATACAGTACAACTAGTGATGGTTGAAATGTCTTTATAATACAGTAGAAGTAGTGATGGTTAAAATGTCTTTATAATACAAGTAGTGTTGGTTGAAATGTCTTCATAACACCGTACAAGTAGTGATGGTTGAAATGTCTTTATAATACAGTAGAAGTAGTGATGGTTAAAATGTCTTTATAATACAAGTAGTGTTGGTTGAAATGTCTTCATAAAACCGTACAAGTAGTGATGGTTGAAATGTCTTTATAATACAGTACAACTAGTGATGGTTGAAATGTCTTTATAATACATTACAACTAGTGATGGATGAAATGTCTTTACAATACAAGTAGTGATGGTTGAAATGCCTTTATAATACAAGAAATGATGGTTGAAATGTCTTTATAATACAGTACAAGTAGTGATGGTTAAAATGTCTTTATAATACAAGTAGTGTTGGTTGAAATGTCTTCATAAAACCGTACAAGTAGTGATGGTTGAAATGTCTTTATAATACAGTACAACTAGTGATGGTTGAAATGTCTTTATAATACATTACAACTAGTGATGGATGAAATGTCTTTACAATACAAGTAGTGATGGTTGAAATGTCTTTATAATACAAATAGTGATGGTTAAAATGCCTTTATAACACCGTACAAGTAGTGATGGTTGAAATGTCTTTACAATACAAGTAGTGATGGTTGAAATATCTTTATAATACAGTACAAGTAGTGATGGTTGAAATGTCTTTATAACACAGTACAAGTAGTGATGGTTGAAATGTCTTTATAATACAAATAGTGATGGTTAAAATGTCTTTACAATACAAGTAGTGATGGTTGAAATGTCTTTATAATACAGTACAAGTAGTGATGGTTGAAATGTCTTTATAATACATATAGTGATGGTTAAAATGTCTTTATAATACAAGTAGTGATGGTTGAAATGTCTTTATAATACAAATAGTGATGGTTAAAATTTCTTTATAATACAAGTAGTCATGGTTGAAATGTCTTCATAACACCGTACAAGTAGTGATGGTTGAAATGTCTTTATAATACAAATAGTGATGGTTAAAATGTCTTTATAATACAAATAGTCAGGGTTAAAATGTCTTTATAATACAAGTAGTGATGGTTGAAATGTCTTTATAATACAAATAGTGATGGTTAAAATGTCTTTATAATAAAAATAGTGATGGTTGAAATGTCTTTATAATACAAATAGTGATGGTTGAAATGTCTTTATAATACAAGCAGTGATGGTTGAAATGTCTTTATAATACAGTACAAGTTGTGATCGTTGAAATGTCGTTATAATATAAGTACAGGTAGTGATGTTTGAAATGTCTTTATAATACAGTACAAGTAGTGATGGTTGATATGTCTTTATAATACAAGAAGTGATGGTTGAAATGTCTTTATAATACAAATAGTGATGGTTGAAATGTCTTTACAATACAAGTAGTGATGGTTGAAATGTCTTTATAATACAAATAGTGATGGTTAAAATGTCTTTATAATAAAAATAGTGATGGTTGAAATGTCTTTACAATACAAGTAGTGATGGTTGAAATGTCTTTATAATACAAATAGTGATGGTTGAAATGTCTTTATAATACAAATAGTGATGGTTGAAATGTCTTTACAATACAAGTAGTGATGGTTGAAATGTCTTTATAATACAAATAGTGATGGTTGAAATGTCTTTATAATACAAATAGTGATGGTTGAAATGTCTTTATAATACAAGTAGTGATGGTTGAAATGTCTTTATAATACAGTACAATCAGTGATGGTTGAAATGTCTTTATGATACAGTACAAGTTGTGATGGTTGAAATGTCGTTATAATATAAGTAGTGATGTTTGAAATGTCTTTATAATACAGTAAAAGTTGTGATCGTTGAAATGTCTTTATAATACAGTACAAGTAGTGATGGTTGATATGTCTTTATAATACAAGAAGTGATGGTTGAAATGTCTTTATAATACAAATAGTGATGGTTGAAATGTCTTTACAATACAAGTAGTGATGGTTGAAATGTCTTTATAATACAAATAGTGATGGTTGAAATGTCTTTATAATACAAATAGTGATGGTTGAAATGTCTTTATAATACAAATAGTGATGGTTGAAATGTCTTTATAATACAAGTAGTGATGGTTGAAATGTCTTTATAATACAGTACAATCAGTGATGGTTGAAATGTCTTTATAATACAGTACAAGTTGTGATGGTTGAAATGTCGTTATAATATAAGTAGTGATGTTTGAAATGTCTTTATAATACAGTACAAGTTGTGATCGTTGAAATGTCTTTATAATACAGTACAAGTAGTGATGTTTGAAATGTCTTCATAATACAGTACAAGTAGTGATGTTTGAAATGTCTTTATAATACAGTACAAGTAGTGATGTTTGAAATGTCTTTATAATACAGTACAAGTAGTGATGTTTGAAATGCCTTTATAATACAGTAGAAGTAGTGATCGTTGAAATGTCTTTATAATACAGTACAAGTTGTGATCGTTGAAATGTCTTTATAATACAGTACAAGTAGTGATGTTTGAAATGTCTTTATAATACAGTACAAGTAGTGATGTTTGAAATGTCTTTATAATACAGTAGAAGTAGTGATGTTTGAAATGTCTTTATAATACAGTACAAGTTGTGATCGTTGAAATGTCTTTATAATACAGTACAAGTAGTGATGGTTGATATGTCTTTATAATACAAGAAGTGATGGTCGAAATATCCTTTTATATTTACCGTTAATTTTAGGATAAGTGTGTAGTTCTTTATTGTGTCCTTAGGAACGCCTCTGGCCAGGGTAGATACTCGGCCAGGAGTAACATAGTCAGAAAATGTATGTGGTGCTGTCTGGTGTATGAATAAACATCAACAGTTGGTTTCAAGAATGGTGAGGATTAATGCCTGGTGAGGATGATGAGGGTTATTTTCTGATGATGTTGATGGTGATAGTTACTGTCTGGTAATGATGGTGAGGATTACTGGGTTACTGTCTGGTGAGGATAGTGAGGGTTACTGTCTGATGATGATGCTGAGTTTTACTGCCTGGTGATGATGATGGTGAGAGTTATTGTCTGGTGAGGATGGTGAGGTTACTGTCTGGTGAGGATGGTGAGGTTACTGTCTGGTGATGATGATGATAGGGGATTACTGTCTGGTGAGAATGGTGAGGCTACTGTCTGGTGAGGATGGTGTGTTTACTGTCGGGTTCTGATGATGGTGATAGTTACTGTATTGGCAAGGATGGTGAGGGTTACTGTCTGGTGAGAGTAACTGTCTGGTGATGATGGTGAAGGTTACGGCCTGGTGAGGATGGGAAGGTTACTGCCTGAGTATATTATTGTTGAGACTTACCATCTGGTAAGGATGGTGAGGTTAGTGCTTGGTGAGGATGTTGAGGACTGTCTGGTAAGGATGTTGAGGGTTACTGTCTGGTGAGGATGTTGAGGGTTACTGTCTGGTGAGGATGGTGAGGGTTACCATCTGGAAAGGATGGTGAGGTTAGTGCTTGGTGAGGATGGTGAGGGTTACTGTCTGGTGAGGATGGGGAAGTCAGGTTAAACACAGGTGATATAACAGTGGTACTCAAACCATCCAACCAGGAGCAAACTCGTAGCGACGGTTTTAAATGATACAAATTTAGATTTAGGAACGAGATATGTAAACATTGGGTTGGAAATAGAGTAGTGAATGAGTAGAACAAGTTACAAAATATCATCATTAACTCGAATACGCTGGATAGCTTCAAACATAGGTTAGATGGATATATGAGCGATAGGGGTTGGGTGTAAATGGGACTGCCCAGTATGGGCCAAGAGGCCTGCTGCAGTTTCCTCCACTCTTATGATCTGGTGTTACTCTCGGTGAGGATGGTGAGGGTTAATGTAAGGTGAGGATAGTGAGGGATACTGTCTGGTGAGGGTTACTGTTTTGTGAGGATGGTGAGGGTTACTGTTTGGTCAGAATGAGTACCGTTTCTGTCTTTTGAGAGTTACTGCCTGGTGAGGATGGTGAGGATTACTGTCTTGTGAGGATAGTGAGGGATACGGTCTGGCGAGGGTTATTGTCTTGTGAGGATGGTGAGGGTTAATGTTTGGTCAGGATGGGTACCGTTATTGTCTTTTGAGAGTTATTGCCTGGTGAGGATGGTGAGAGTTACTGTCTGGTGATGTTCACTGACCGGTAAGGATTGTGAGGGTTACCGTCTGGTGACCTTCATTTGTTTGGTCATCATAACAAAGCAGTAAAGGTGTTACCGAGAGAGTGTATGTGGCCTGAGAACCTGACACACTGTGGCCAGGGAACCTGACATGCCGTGGCCAGAGAACCTTACACACTATGGTCAGAGAACCTAACACACTGTGGCCAGAGAACCTGACACACTGTGGCCAGAGAACCTGACATACTGTGGCCAGAGAACCTGAGCACACTTACCCTTGAAGTTAATCACCGCCTCAACAGGAGCACTTGTAGCAACACTCCCATGTACCAGGTGCGGATACTTGAGACGGAACCATACAGCCAGCGCTCCTGGATATGATCCACCAAAAGCTATCCACTTATTGCCCTCAAAACCAAGACTTTCCTTCATGCTCACAACAAAATTTGCCAAGTCTCCTAGAGCTTGTTCAGTGCTAAGATAAGCCAGGTTGTCTACCGAAGCATCCCTGTAGAAGTTTAAAGCAAACCAAATATTCTTAGTTGTAATTTTGTTCATTATTTACTTTTGGTGAACTTTATGTTATCAAGATTAACAATTGACTAAATGATTGATGGTGTATGGTAAATGATTTATAATACAATAAATGTTTTCAACAGAATAAAAGACTTACTCAGTAGGATGACTCATGCCATAGTATCGGTGCTCAAGGAACAACATATAGGCATTTAGACCTTGGGCGTAGGTGACCCAGTAAGGCTCCACCATCCATATAGGGTCAGCTGGTCCTTCTCCACCAATCATAAGGAAGACAGGACCACCAGGCTCATAGAAAGAGTCATTGGTAAAATATCTCTGAAAGATAAGGGATATTCAGATCCATCTCTCGTGTGTGGAATTGCGTGAACTAATAAGATTACACAGTTCTGCATTTAATATGTTATTGTTATGTCTACAAAGTGCGTATGTGTTATTAATATGTATACAGTGCACACTGTTCATTGTAAAGGAGACAGCCGGCGTGAGGGAGACAGCTAGCATGAGGGAGACGGCCAGTGTGAAGGAGGCAGCCAGTGTGGGGGAACAGCCAGTGTGAAGGAGACAACCAGTGAGAGGGAGACAGTCAGTGTGAAGGGGACAGCCAGTGTAAAGGAGACAACTAGTGCGAGGGAGACAACCACTGTGAGGGAGAAAGAAAGTGTGAGGGACACAGCCAGTGTGAAGGATACAGCCAATGTGAGAGAGAAAGCCAGTGTGAGGGAGACAGCCAATGTGATGGAGAGATTCAGTATGAGGGAGAGAGCCATTGTAAAGGAGACAGCCAGTGTGAAGGAGACAGCCTGTGTGAAGGAGAGAGTCAGTGTGAGGGAGACAACCAGTGTGAGGGAGGCAACCAGTGTGAGGGAGACAACCACAGTGACGGAGAAAGACAGTGTGAGGTATACTGCCCGATTCTGGGGTCACTAATTCTAAGGGGATAACTTAACTCTACTCTTAATTTTAAGGTCGCTGCCACGAGACTCCCCTGGACAGTGTGTAGCTCGTTAGGTAGCGGGCATAGTGAATTAGGCATTGGGTTGGGTTTTTCAATGACCAAATCGAGAGTGGGAAGAAGGGTGAAACATCAATTATGACTTAAGTAATTTATTCCTTATAAGAACATATTGCATCCAATCACAATACAAAAAAGCTGACCTTCATCAGAAGAACCACTATTATGATCATTACACCTCATATCATTACACGTCCTTCATCAAATAATTACTATTATCATCTTCATTCTTCATAGCAACCAATGACCTCCTTACCTAGGTCATTCTTTCTTACCATAACATCCAACGCATTAGACTGCACGACATGTTAGAGTATAGCACCGTATGTTATAGCACCACATCTCGTATACACTCCACACCTACAAGTATGGGGCTCCTTGGTATTCTTAGGTACACATACCAGGTTCTATCGTGCACCAAAGTCGTGTCCACTACCCAACCACAGTGAGGATTCAAATAGCCTAGAGTCTGCAGTTTCGAAACAACTGGGGGAAATGCTATGGTCGGCCAACAGATGTCGCCACTGTAGTGTGTGTGTGGGAGGGGGGGGGGAGGAATAGAGGAGGTTTGATTGATTGATACGTTTATTGAGATACAAAAAACATTAATACATCTCAAAGGGATGAAGTGACATAAGTCATTCCCACCCCATTCCAGGAATGTCCCTCTCAGGATTCACATTAATCCCTAATATTTCATGTAATCAGTTATATACAGGTACATACATAGATATATTCTAGATGCAAAATTTCTATATGTCTTTAATATTTCATCTATTTTCCTATTTTTAAACATCCACTCTATTTGCATGGGGACATTATTTATATGGGCATTTCTATATAGGCTACATTAAGCAATGGGCATTCCACTATATAATGTGGCAGGGTATGGGATCTGGGTGTTCTACAAACTCTACATTCTTTATCCTGTTCACTTCTCTCAGCTCCAAGTTCCCAATAATATTTATATCCTAATCTTAACCTCATATACACTGAATCTTTCCACCTACTCCTATCTTCCCCATATGTAAATTTTGTGTTCATGAGAACATGATGGTAATGTTTCATTGTTTCACTTTCCTCGTATCATTCATTCCTTTTGACATTATCTTCTATTGATTGTATTTTCCGTAATTTGCTCCTTAATTGTTTCAAGGTTTTAGTACATATTTTGTCGATCTCGGCCTTTTCCGTGGCTCTTTTTGCTATTATATCTACTGTTTCATTAAGACCAATGCTTACATGTGAAGGGACCCATACAAATTGAACATTATGGCCATTTTTCCTTATTGTATTTACTAATTTTCTACATGAACCAATAATGTGTTCAAAGACTGGACTCCCACTGTTCAAAGAATCCAAAGCTGCCCTACTATCAACAAAAAAATATGCATCTTTATACATATTTACAACATTTTCCAATCCTACTAACATTGCATATAACTCAGCTTGTGTTGATGATATAAAACTGCTCAACCGAAGTCCAATTTTGATGTCATCATTTCCTTGTTCTGTGTACTGTCTTATAAGGATCCCACACCCTGCCCTGCCATTTGACATAACTGAACCGTCACAATGTACATGCAATGTGTTTATTTTAGGCAAATTACTAATCTTATTCCCATATAAAGCCCTTAACTGTCCTGGTTCATGTAATGATTTCTTCATTGTGAGAGGCACTATGTCTAACCCTACTTCTCGTTCTTCCCAGGGTGGATTCTTACAACTCTTCTGAACAGCTGTACACCAGTCTGCCAGATTACATTTTTTAATAATATTTACTAATCCATTCATGTATCCTCTCTTGCCTTGCCTGCAGAAGGTCCTTTTATCTTTTAAACCATCATTTATATCTTGTACAAATTTATCCCCACTGTTCCCTCTCATTAATCGAACTGCTGCAACTGTATTAATTTCATTCACCCTATGTGAAATGCTCTGTAACCCTAGTTCCATTTTCATTATCTCAATCATTGCATTCTTTTGACACCCTAAAATTATTCTCATTGCTTCATTTTGCATGACCTCAAGCTTCCATAGCCTTCTTTCACCAGTACAAGAGAGGACAGGTGCTGCATAGTCTATAAGTGATCTGATACATCATTCTCAGTATGGGTACCCCAGCACCTTTACCACAACATGCTAGAGCCTTCAAGGGCTGTAATCTTGCTCTACATTGAGTGAGAACATGATATATTTCTGCCTCTTTACTTTCACAAGTAAAGCCAATATACATTCCTAAATATTTATACTTTGACACTTTCCCAACAGTTTTTCCATTTAGAAAAACGGATTCAGTTCCTCTTCCTTTACATTCACACTTGGTTTTTTCTTCATTGATAACTAAGCCCATCTTTTGAGAAAGAACACTAAAATTATTAAATGCAATCTGCAATTTTTTTACAGAATTTCCTTGAAATAAGATGTCATCTGCATAAATGATGGTTACAACTCCTTTGGGATATTTGCGTGAGGCTATCTTGTTCATTAACACATTAAATAACATTGGACTCAATACTCCCCCTTGGGGAGTGCCTAGTTCAAGTGCTCTTTCCTCAGACAAACATCCCTGATACCATACACAGATTCTCCTTCCATGCAAGTAGTCACCTATCCAGTGTAACAACTTTCCTGATACCCCTAGAGCAGCCAGTTCATTCATAACTACTTCACTGTGAGCTTTATCAAATGCTCCTTGTAAATCCACAAAAACTCTACATCTGTCTGCATCATTTGATAAACATTTTATAACACAGTCTGAAGTACATTTCCCTTCCAAAAAACCAAATAAATTACAAGATAGATTTTCCCCCACAATATATACAAGCCTATTTAATAATACTCTCTCCATCATCTTGGAAAAACAAGATGTTAAAGACACCGGCCTGTATCCACCAGTTGCCTTAGGGACAGGAGTAACTATCGCTTTCTTCCATTCTGTTGGTAATCTACCCTCTGTATAGCTCATGTTGAATAAATCTAATAATGGAAAATTTTCCATACCAAATAAGCAGTTCAAAATTTCATAAGTCACACCATCTTCGCCTGGTGCTGTAGATTTTCCTTTTTTAACAGCATTTAATAACTCATCTTGAGTAATATCTACACATGTTACATCACAAATATTTAGAGCTGATGAAATAAATCTTCTTCTTTCATTTTGCCACTCATCTAATGCTTCTATTGTCCTGTTAGGCAGGAAGGCAACACTAGCTGCTTTAGCCCATTTGTCAACCAGTTTATTAGCTTCTTCCTCTGGATGAGGATGACTAATAAAATTACTCCTTTTTCCTCTAATTTTGTTAATATCCTGACATATTTCTTTGAGATTTTTACTCTCCCCAATGTGCTGTGCAAAGTCTTGCCAATATTTCTCCCTTGCCTCCTTCCTAGCCTGCCCACATATTTTGGCTATATCCATGACGATTTCCCTATCTTCTTCTCTTCTACCATTCTTTACCCAATCTTTATGTGCTGCCCTTAACATTTGTGTCCATCCCTTCAACATTTTGTCATTGGTATAGCAGTGTTTCCTAGCCCCATGTGTCTTATCATTTATCTTTTTCTGTGTTGACTTAGTTAAATATCTTTCTATCTCCTCAACTAAGTCATTATAAAAGCTATCCATACAGACTGGTGTATAATTTTTGTACCATTTCTCTATATTTTGGGTAAACACTTCTGTGTCAGCCTTGTTTAGTTTCAGTCTCTTCCTCCTATATCTCACCTGTCTCTTCCCTAATGGTAATTGAACATACATAACAAAATGGTCACTGACTAGCTCCCTTATTATCTCACATTCTCCCTGGACTCCCTGACTGCTTATCATGCAAGCATAGTCTAACCTTCCTCCTTTAATATGAGTCACTTCCTCATTTCCTAACAAGTAAGCATCTGGGTGATCTTGTAAAAATTGCCGAAATTTTATACCATTACTATCAATTCTCCCCATTGTTTCGAGTCTTGGATGTCGAGGATTAAAATCTCCTACAGCCAAAGTTGAGTCCAAAAACATGCAATCTGGTAAGAAGTTGAGGTCAAAACAGCCTACAGAAATATACAAATTTGCTATGTTCAATTCTCCTTCCTTCAAATATAACTTTATACAGACACTTTCTATTCCTTGTACTCTACTCGGGCTTCCAACTAGTTCTGCTGGTATGGAATTCTTAATATATGTTGAGACCCCTCTTATACCTTCACCCGAATAGAGATGAAATCCCTTATATCCAGACAGTTTAAGCAGGTCGACTTTCCTGTCCCCAGTCTCTTGAAGGGTAATTATGTCAATATTATTTTTAAG